GTTATATCGGGGTAGTGGTGAACTATTTTAACAGTTATTTTAGGGGCAGTACTGTGCTTCACGTAACTGATTATCCAGGCCAAAATACATCTTTATTTCTAGAGAAATGAGAATCTGTTAGTTATCCTTTTAATGGAAATGGCTTAGGGCGGAGACTCTGGGGAAGGGGTTAGAATGGGGGTGGGAGAGTGGAGTCAGGACAGGGACTCTGGGGAAGGGGTTAGAATGGGGGTGGGAGAGTGGAGTCAGGACAGGGACTCTGGGGAAGGGGTTAGAATGGGGGTGGAGTTGGGGTGGGGACTCTGGGGAAGGGGTTAGAATGGGGGTGGGGCAGGGGTGGAGTCGGGGCGGGCCCAGGGGCAGAGTGGGGTCGCACACCCACCGGCACGAGCAGAAGTCGGCGCCTAGGCCTCGGAGGAAGCCGGGCCTAGAGAGGAGCGCGCCGGGGTGGAGACAGAACACCTGGGCTCTAGTCTGATTTTAGACTAAGCTTTTGGGGATAGAGGCCGTGTCTTCCCAGGTGTGCGTAGCCCCTAGCCCAGGCGGGGTTCCCACAGGGGGCAGCCCCAATTTGTGGAACTGCAGCTTGCTCTAGCCCAGGGCTTTGGAGCCAGCCAGCGGCCAGGGGCTGGTTTCAAGAGCAGTTTAGGCAGCGCTGGTGTGACTCCTCTGCATCCCGTGCCCATTTTCCAGACCACGCCGGCCCGGTCTGAGGGAAACACGGCAGAGCATTAACTCCAGCCCACGGGACTGGCTTTTCGTCCCACCGGTGTCTGCACAACTGATTTGGCACGAATCACGCGGCCATTCCACTGAGGCCCATTAGATACTAGGCCCCACACCAGGCAGCGCTCCCCTCTGCCATCCACTGAAAGCTCAGGGGACACAGTGCCAGCTAGGGAGTCTGTCTGGGGCTAACATGGAAACCAGCTTTTCCCCCCGGCTGCTCGAAGGATACAAATAGCAACCCCGTTTCCCAGAGCAACCCATGAAAGCAAAGCCGCTGGGCAGAGGGGTCCTAACACTGGGGGTGCTCAGCGCGTGGGGAGTGGACGCTGCAGAACCAGATGGAGCCTCCTCCCTCTCCCGAACTCTGAGACGTCTCAGAGCTGGGCTTGGCAAAAAAAGAAGAGGCCCTTGTCAACCAAGGGGGAAAAGGCAGGTGCCAACAGACCATAGAGAGCAATTCACTCACAGAGCAGCCCGATTTCATCATGGAGCTTGGAGGGCTCTCAGACACCTGAGATATTCTTCTGCTAGCTCCATCCAAGCGGCAAGCACCCCCCATTCACACACTCAGCTGGGCACCGGGGCATGCAGGTGGCACCGACTTACCCATCAGTGTCTTGGAAGTTGACATTGACTTTCTTTGCCGACCCGAGGAGCTCTGGGGGAGAGAGAAAGCAAGCGTTAAACAAGTGACAAACAGAGACGTTCACCCAAGCTCTGACAAATGGCACTTTGTCCCTTGCTTTGTAAAAGCCGTTTGACACTAATTTAAGGGCCCCTGCAGACCCACGGAACGGGGACAGCCCTGAAAGCAGCAGGGGAGACTCGATCCTGCCTCGGAGGGACCCCACCCTGGGATGGGACATGGCCCATGCAGAGAATCCCAGCAAAGGGCCCAGCCACGGCCAGCTGTGGGGGGGATTTCGGGACGTGGGCACTTTACCACCAGGAACTGGGCCGGGATGCCCAGTTCATCTGCCATGTGCCACCAGCCTGGGCAGGATTTGAATCAGCACCTCACCAGAGAGAAGCGCCAGAGCTCAGGCCTCTAAGCCAGCCAGACTTCTGTGGGCTCTGGCTCAGGGCCTGCACGGCCTACAGTGTTCATTTCCGTCACGTCAGGGCACAGGGAATTGGGGACAGGAGGGGATGTTACAGACGTTACAGCTCAGAGGGCTGGCTGGGCATCACCCCCTGCTCTGACAATGTCAGGGTTCCCAGGCAGCCCAGGCTGGGGCCCACGCAGATGAGGGCTGACAGGATTTCATGCTGGAAGCGGGGATCCTGTCAGAACCCTTCCTTTCCCACCACAGCCAGGTCTCCTCGAGCCCAGGAAAGAGCAGAGGGAGACCAAGGCCTCGGCAAAGCACTGGCCCCCATGAATAATCCCATCGCATGGCTCGGGGTTACTCCCCCCCGGAAAGGCTTTGCAGAGTCAGGGGTTAGAAAAGTGGGTTAAACCCACAGGCACACAAATCTGTGATGGGTGCCACTGGCTAGGGGTGGCCACGCTGCCCAGCAGTGCTGGGACGAGGAGCGAGACACGCTGGCATTGTGTATTTCAGCCCCCTCACCCCTCCCTGCCCTGGGGAAATGAGCTGTACTGGTAACAGCACAGCTCCACCAGGATAACTGCGTCTGCACTAAATTAAATAAATTAATGGAGATGTCCTATCTCCTAGAACTGGAAGGGACCTTGAAAGTCATCGAGTCCAGCCCCCTGCCTTCACTAGCAGGACCAAGGGGCTTCTGCCGGCACCGCGGTTGCTCAGGGTCTCACCTCTGCACATGCTTGGCCGGGATGAGTGTATCACAGCCCCTTACATCTCTGCAGAGGAGAACAAATCACCTTCCCCAGGAATTTCTACCTTCATCCTCCCCTGAAATGCAACTACCTCTGGGCGAGACACAGCATTGCCAGCTCTTGGGATTATCTCGTGGTACACAGTGTTTCTTTCTTACTGCCCCAGCTCCTGGAGTCATGTTATTTTGACAGAATTTCAGCTTTAATTATTAACAACAACAAAAGTTACGTTTCTGGCATGGTCACCAAGGAAGCCGGAAAACATGATCCCTAAAGGCTCAATGCCCAGAAAAAACAAGAACCCAAAACTTGGTATTTTTTAAAATCACGTGATTTGAGGGCCAATCTCATGACTCTTTGGGGCCTGAATCACTTTTTTTTTTTAATGCTTGGGGTTGATCCACCTAGAAGTGGGGCAGCGATTGAAGAGTGCTCAGAAAACTACACAGGACAGGTGCAGTGACGGGGACAGCACGCACTGCGAGAGTCCCACGAGGCAGTATGCAGGGACCCGGGGCTTAGCGCCCCTGCTGCACAAAATGGGCCATGGGGACAGGAGCTTGATGCCCACGATTGACCCGTTCTCTGGAAGGCTGCTGCCCCTCACACACACCGGGGCGCTGGGTGCAGTGGCTTGGGAAGAAGAGCACCCCCTACTGAGTTATCACCACGCCCCCCTGTGCCCTGGCCTCTGCTCAGAGCTCTCCCGATGAGCTGCCCCACGCCCGCCGGGCGAGCGGGAGAGCAGAGAGCCCGACTGAAGGATCGCTGTTAACAAGCTGCACCGTCAGAGCCTTGATAAATCAAGGCGAGACGCTCAAGGAAGGGAAAGGAGGGGAGCGAACTGCGAGTCTATCACCTTCTACGGCTGTTCCTGCCTCACCCCTTACCCTTGGGGTCAGCGTCACGGGGCAGCCAGACCTCACCCCCTCCTGAACACACACGCATGCACTAGCGCTTGTGTTTCCAGCAGGAGAGGCAGGGAAGGCCGCTGCGCTCTGGCAGGCTTGCCCGTTTCTCCCAGGTGCCCCTCATGCCCCAGGCCATTCTGTGCAGGACTTTCCCACAGGCATCTTTTCCAGCCTCTCCTTGCGCTGTCAGGGAAGGGCAGGGGAGTCTGAGAGGAGCCCGTTCCTTCCCTCGGTGCAGGCCTGGCCTCCTCCAGCAGGTCCCCAAAGCCCAGCAGCTGGGCTGCTCCGCGCTCTGCCGTCACTCGTCGCCCCGGTGGGATCGCCGCAGCGGGTTAATGCGTCTGGGCGAAGGAAGCGGGGGGGGGGGGGGATTACGCTCCACCTGCTGGAGTTGGGCCCAAGTGCCGGGAAAGCAGCACAGGCCATATCAGGACAAAGAGAACGGAGCTTTCCAGCAACCTGTCTCCGTCCCTCTGTCTGCGATGCCAGGCCGCGGGCCCCGAGCAGCCACTGAGGCAGCTTCCAGAGCCCGGGGCTTGGCAAGCAACCCTGCAGTGCCCAGGCATGAAACCAGGTGCCATCTTCCTCTCTCCCGCCCACCCCATCGGCCGCTGTCCTGGCTGCACCGCCGGTGGGCCTCTGCCCCAGATCCATGCCCCAATCTCGGCAGGGTCCTGCCTCTGCGACCCGCTGCTTCAGAGCAAGGTGAGATATTCTCTGACCCCCCGATCCAACTGGGCGAGGGGCAGGGTGTTCTCCCAATGCCTGCAGGAGCCCCTGCTCAGATCCATGAGACATGCAGCCCCGATAGCAGAGACAATGCCGGAGACAGCTCCCTATTAGAGTCTGCTCTGCGACCACCGCTGCCGATGCCCGACTTGTTCACCTTTCCCATTCACCACGTGTCACACCGGAGTAGATGGACCAATAGTGTCCTCTGACATGGGAGGAGGCCGGATCCTGGAGCAGGTCGACCTATGGCATGGTCTGATCACGGAGGTGGGATGCTGGACTCCAGGGGCCTAGGGGTGACTTGAGGTCATGGTCCCTCTAGGCCAGCAGCCCTACCGAAGTCTGTGACCCCGCTCAGCAGGAAGCGTGACACTGCCCTAGCCAGGGAAACGATCTGGCAATCCTCATCTGCCTCCATTGGACACTCACTTCCAGCCATTACCAGACCTTTCCCAGCCCATGATCTGAATCTGCGTCTCTCAGCTGCAGAGCATCGCATCTGCTAAGCCCTCTCATTTCCTATGCCCAGAGGCCTGGCCCACCTTCACCCGAGTGCTGTCCACAAATAAGGGTCCTGGCTGACATGCGCATTCATCTCCCCAGTATCCGAGCCTGCCGCACAGATGAAATCCCCCAGAGATCCACATACATCAGAGAAAGCGTCTCCTTCGACAGAGCCACCGCCACCCCTTGGCCTGCGGCTCTGGCAGAAAAGGAGCAAAAGCTCCTTCTGATGCTGAGAAATACTCCAAGCCTCAGAACGACTGCCAAGCCCCAAACTCCTGCCTCCTCCTGGTCTCCTCAGCAGTGCTGGTCTCCCCTCTGCACTGTCCCCAATTCCAGTTCAGTAACAAGTATTGCTTTATCCGGTCCCACGGGGGCTGCAGCCTAGGCAGCGGCTCCTCGGGACCACGCCGGGGCAGCGCTGGTAAGACCTTTCACACTGCGATTCGGTGCCGGGGGATGTGCGGTCCGTACAGTGGGCCAGGTACCATGTCAGGCCATCCAGCTCATGGTCTGAAACATCACAAAAGTGTGACGCACACACACAAGGCATCATCTCTCCAAGGAGAGACGGAGCCCCCAGCAGCCCGGCTCTAGGGCGAGATGCTAGACACGCGGTTTATAGCTCAAGAAGAAGTCACTGATCGGAGTGGGGACACGTAGCTGGTCATCGCTGTTATACCCTGGGGGTGGGGAATGCCCCTACACACATCCAGCCTTCTCCACAGAGAGATTCCCGGCGGCTTGGAACCCCAGAGCGGGACAGTCCCCATCAGGGGGCGACAGCAAACCGGGCTGCGTACTCAGAGGGTTAAAGGGGCCTGCCCCAGCCAGGCACTCATCCCGGAAGGGCTAATGGATCCAGTGAGGGGAGCACTGGCTCAACCAGAGCGATGACACCGCCACCGCCCAACCATCTGCGGCCCCCAGCCACTCCCACTCCGGCACAAGCCAGAGCCCTGTGCGATCAACACACACCACTGCCGCTTCCGCCATGCTCCCCCTGCCACCGGGGGCCTCACAGCTGGGCCGGCCTCACCCCCACTAGGGCAGGACAGTTCCCTGTGTCAGATTCCCCCCAGCGCTCTCTCCAGCCCAGCATCACTCGGTTCCAGCAACGAACCCTCCCCGGCGAACACAGCCGACAGCCGGGCCCTGCCTGACCCGAGCGCGTGGGCCCTGCCCAACGCCAAGCCCCCAGCTCTCCCCAGGGCACAGCGGCTGCCCCGGGCAGCTCCTTCCCGCTTCTCCAGAGCCGCAGCCTTTGACGGCGCTTGGCGATTGCTCCCCCTTCGGCAGCACCCAGCCCCTGCTCCTGCCGGCTGAGAAGACACGTGGCCCCTTCGGCAGATAGTGGTGCACCCCTCCCCGGTGCCACCCTTTATTCCAGCTGGAAACAAGGCAGCCGCAGGTCGCAGGGAGGCTGGCGCTATGTGGAGCTGTTTTTCCATCAGGCTGGAAAGTTGGCAGTGCACTGCTGGCTGCGTCCCAAAGGTGAGCGGCTCCCTGCATCCCAGCAGCCGAGCGCTGAGCAAGACGACAGGCTAAGCAAGGCAAGGGGCTCACCTGGGGACGCCCTCTCCCCCAGTGCCCACCTAGGCCCTACACGCCCATCGTGTGCCGAGATGGCTGTGAGAGCTCCCTGCAGCCAGCACCGTCCCACCCAGGAACCAGGGGACAAGGAGCAAGAGGGGTCAGGTCTCTCCT